AGATCACAATGCTTCCTATAGAGGTAAACCACCACCTTCTACTGATTCTAGAAATGTATCACTCAGCATGACTGAGCAGGTAATTTGGAAATTATGTATCTTTGTACTCATAAATATTTATGTAGTAGAAACTTTTAGTCTTGTTTTTATTTTTCGTATGAAACAGTAATAATGAAATTATTTAATTTTTAGTATTTAGAGTAAAGTTAAATGTAGTAAGTGATCTTGATTATAATTATAATAAATAATTTAAAAAATATTGTAATGCATTATTAACATCCCTAAGGATAAGTTTTGGACTCATCTGCTAAACGCAAAAAAAAGTTTTGCCAAAAAAATTCGAATCCTTATCGAGTTTCATCGTTTTTAAATTTGTACGCCAAATTTCGACTCATGTACATACATACATGTACATACATACTTTATCTAATTTTGGTCTTGAAGAATTCAGAATGATTTGAAAAATAGAAAAAACATAAATTTAGAAAATTAGAAAATATTAAAACTTCTCCTTTGTGAAGTTAAAAATAATTGTATTTTAGAAAAATTTTGCACAAACTTGCTCTGCAAATAACAACAAATAAGGCTATTAGTTATTTCATTAGTCTTCTTTGTTTCTGTATTTAACCATTTTCTATATCTTAATTTAGGTCGATGACATCATAGATCATAGTATTGAAATAGAAAGCAATAAAAGAATGAGAAATGATAATGTAAATCCATGGACATTGAATTTCAAAGATGGATCTCTGGAAGGAAAATTCTGCCAAGTACGCGAAGACATGTTCAAATCAAACATGTTGTGTTGTTTCATAGTTTGGGTCTTCGTCGTGATGTGCCAAGCGATAATTCTTCCAAGGTATTATGTCTAATCTCATATAAATAATAAAAATGTTAATATAAAATTATCTTTTTTTTCAGCTGTACTGCTTTAGTGATAAGTCTGACAGCCACTACCTTTTTGTTGACATGTGCATCTGTTCTGGTACGAATTTAATATTTTGTTAATATTTTGAAAATGGTCTGAAATTATTAATTATGTATTTTTGGCAGGTAATGGCAGAAGAGTTTCACCAACTTCCAAAAAATTTGCAAAAAACTTCTTCTATGTTAGTTCATAATAGAATGTCGCGAACAACTTTTATTTGCGTCATCGTGATCCTAATGTCTGCTGCAAGCTCTATAAGCTTGTTGTTATGCCAAATGCCAGGTTTGTGAATACTATAATATGGAAATGTTATAATTGCAGTATTATAACAAACATATTTCACTTTCAGTTGTAGATGAATATGATGACGAATTACAAACTGCTATTACTGCTACAACCAAAAGCCATCACGATTCTTCGGAAAATACACAATTAGTTGTAGGTTTGAATGAGGTTTCATTAGTACAGCCTCTATACTTAATCGCAGTTGGTCCATTGACTCAGAACAAAAATATCACTAAACCTCTAATAAACGAAATTCAAAATGAGCTTCCTATTATACAAACAGATACCGTCGTAAAAAATAATTCCAATGTTGTTAATATTTTTGTTACTGCAACAATACATCATAATATCACTATAAATAGTGATGATCCCAAAACGGCTAATTGCACTGATGATTGTATCAAACAATTGGTATTAGATCAAACATTGAATTTTACCAATTCTAATCTTTTAGAACAATCACTAAATTTGACTAATCCTCCTCAAATTGAAAACAAGAGGCGAAAAAGATTTGATATTGAATTTACTGATGTTGAAGCTATTAAGGAGAGTAACAGAAAATTAGCAATGCGCCAAGAAGCAGAAATGGTGCAACAAAAGCAACAAGAAGCGCCGATTATTGATGATGAGGATGATGAAGAACCAGAAATTTTGCCAAGAGAATGCATTCATCCGGAATATGTGGTATTTACCTGGGTTTTATGCTTGGTAGCTTTAGCAACCGCCTTGAAATTATATTATTTAGTGAAAACTTGTTTGGCAATTATAATGGTAACCGTGTATACCCTTCTGATCATGTTGGCGTACCCCGATGCATTTCATGACCCAGTACTGGAAAGAAAGTAAGTTGGCTTTATTAGTTACACCAATAATATTATATACTAAATTGGCCAAATATTATCATAAGTTTATCAGTTTCAATTACTTTTTCATTAATGATAATTTTTCTTTTTAAGAATGGGAATGTCGCTCTCTGCTCAGATGTTGATTCTGTTGGCTGTCTTTTTGGTGATGGTTACTTACCATGCCCGCTTAGTTGAAGTGACCTCAAGATTAGACTTCTTGTGGAAGCAGCAAGCAGAACGAGAACTTGCAGATATGGTTGACACAAGACATAATAATACACAGCTGCTTAAGAATATTTTACCGGACCATGTAGCTCATCACTTTCTTTCGGAAGATAGACAGCCTGATGTAAGTATAATTATTAATATTGCATGAACAATAATATTTTTATGTTTGAAATAATCTTACTAGCAAGTTTATATTATTTTTGGAATTACAATTTTGTAAAGTCTTATCATTGGTAATTAGTAGTATTAACTCATTATGGTTGTTTGGTAATTTTGCACATATAAATATTTATTTATTAAATAATAAGTTTGCTTCAAATTTTAATTTGCAGTAACAAATTTAAAAGCATATGTTAATGTAATAATAACAATAAATTGTTGTCTGCCTGAAAGCAGGTCCATGATATGAGAGCACCACAAGTGAAGGATTTCTTTTCCCTCCCTTGTTTATTAATCTCATTTTAGTTTATTTCAATTATTCACTATTTAGACATGCACTTTTATTTCCAATCTAATTTTTATTTTCAAACAGTAATGTGATATAAAATAAATAATAGTAAAAGTAAATATACTAGAGTAGAGTCAAACGTAGTAAGTTTGATTGTAATTTTAAGAATTACAAAATATTTGAAAATTTTAGGCCAAAAAAATATAGTTTTTTCTCCAGTTATTTAAATGTAAATAAAAATTATATATGGGAGATTTTGGGGTTGATAAATCCATTTATAACAATTATTTTTACCAATCATTAGCAATAGAAATATTAGTAAATATACTCAAGTATTCATAATCCTAATAAAGCTAAAGTAGCTAAAAATACTTAAGTGAATTCTAAAATAGAACATGTATAATATAATATTAAAATTTGTTAACATTTACGCAACCTAATTCATACTTGAACCTGATAAAATTCACCTATCATTTAGAAAGGTTACTACAAACTGCAATTATCCTTCCAATTACTGTTTTTAACAAAAATTCCGATTTGCTAATTTCATGTTCTTTACGCGTTTTAAGTCATTCTGAAGCAGCTTTTACCGAACTTGGAATGCATGTGTGTGTCTGAGCCTATTTTTCAATCTTTCGTCCACGTTTTTTTTTTGTAAACAGTTATACTGATTTCAAAAGTTCAAAAGCCATTAGATGTATCTCAACAAGGACTATTAAAATTTAAAAAATACAGCCAAAATTTGTGCCAATAATCGCATTTATGTTGTCATAAATTAAAAATTTAATTTTGTAGACGTTTTCTCAAAAATAGTTGAACCGATTTCACAACTATAACAGCAATTGGTTTAAACTCGAAAAAGAGGTGCCGTGATTAAATTTGCGAGACAATCTTTGTGTTTTTTTGATAGCGTTTTTCGCCAAAATCTTGCTATCTCATGTTTATGGATTTGTGCATTGGTCACATAAATTAATTAATAATTATCTAAATAGTTTCTTTATATCTTATCTATGTCACCTAACGAGCAGTCTTCAAAAGTTGTCTAGTTATGTAAGAAATGTTACCATTAATTTGAATGATTAAATAACATCAAGAGCTAGGTACATAATATACATAATCGAGCCATTTTTTTATAGCAGATGCTTAATATTCGACAAAAAAATTCATCAGGTTTCTTAAAAAAATGTTTTAAATAAATAATATGAATATATATAACACATGGCAATAAAGTTCATGCACTAAATTCAATAAAATTTGTGATGGGCGCTTTTAGAATATATTATAAGCATGTGTTTCAAATGTGTTTGAGGAATTAATACATGGAAATGTTTAATTTTTAGCGAAAGCAAAGACTCCATTTTCAAAATAAACACTTATAAAATGTATACGAATAGGTAAATCTCAATTTCAATTAATAAAGTCAATTCTTACACATATTGGGAAGTCTGTGCAACTTGTCTTAAGGCTGAATGCCACTGACAACTAATTTTTAATATGTTTGGTATAATTAATAAATGTAATAATATCATTAACCAATATAATCATTTATCAACTTATATAATAATATTTCATTGTTTCACTTCATAATTTCAATTAATATATCAGTTATTTTCCAGCATCATCTTTAAATGTTAATAAGTCATCAAGATTAACCAGCATTTATGTACTAATGGAGAGGTTATTGAATGAAAATAATTTTAGAAGAAGAACTCTTTTTTCTAGCGGTAACAATAATAATGAAAAACTTTCTATCAAATTATAATTAATAATTATATTGAAATGAAAGTTAATCAAACAATTATACGAACAATGCAAATACGAATCATTCATCTTTTAATTTGCATTAAAAGTTAAATATTCACATTGCTATTATGAAAATTACGCTTTTTTCTACTTTCCACGTATAATGAAAGAAAAATTGAAGGACAACAAAGAAAATTATGTATAATTTTATCGTTCCATTCGATCAATTTTGCGAAGAAGTGTTCTCTTCATGGAAATGGTTGTGGTTGAAACTTTTTGTTTTATTTCAAAATATTAATACCTAATTTGATTAGGTGAAATTTGATATGTCCCAGGAACTGTATTCTCAATGGCGAGCGGACGTCGGAGTCATGTTTGCGAGTATTCCAAATTTCACTGAGTTTTATTCTGAGGATATTAATAAAGGAATGGAATGTATACGATTGCTCAACGAAATTATCGCGGACTTTGATGAATTGCTGGATGAAGCGCGATTCAAACCCATCGAGAAAATAAAGACTGTAGGCGCAACCTACATGGCTGCTTCAGGGTTAAATCCGACACAGGTAATTATATCAATATTGCAATTAATTGCAAAAGTATTTACTTTTACCAGCATTTAATATTTTTGTCTTAAAATAATGCGTAGATTTAAATAATGTTGATATTTTTGTTCGACGTTAAATATACCTATTCCAATGAGAGATTTTTTAAAAAGTGGACTAATAAAACCATTATAAAAAACTACGTAAAACTATACAAAAAATAATGTAAATAATATCATATGTTAAAATCGTATATAAGATCTTGATAAAACTATTAACCCTTTTCGTAGCGTTTTACCGTTCCGGTCGTGTGTCTCCTCTCAGACAATAGGACTGCACATTGAAGAAAAATTTCACACATTGCAAAACTAATTTATAATAAAATTTTCATACAAAACTAGTGGGGCGCATGGCATTGTGCCTTAAGGCAAATTGCTGGAACTTTCCGTACCAAAAATATTTTTTTTTTAAAAGATTAACATTTTTGAAAAAAAATTTACTCTGAAAAATTAGATTTTTGAGAAACTATAAATTTTTGACAAAAATTTTCTTTTTTTGAAAAAAAGACTTTGAAGAAAAGTGTATTTTGAAATATTTTGGAAATTCTGAACTTTTTTTCAAAGCAAACGTACTGCTTTAACTGCATAGAGACGAAATATCGAAGCGCGTAGGCGCCGCGCCGCCGCCTAACGGATAAGCATTGGTACGGAACCCATAGGAATGTTAACAAAATTTATACTTATTGTTAAAATCTCTATAAAATATCTGATAATTTGATGTGCATATATCTAATGATCATTTTTGACCGCCAAATGGCATTTTTTTTACTTTTTTTACTAGATCTCTGAAACCGCTAGACCTGCCTTCATGAAAATGATCAGTTCTTTATCTTGTTAATACAAGTAAAATGTTTTTTTAATTATTCAAATCGGACACTCCGTTCTCTTGAAAACTTAGTTACCGTTTTTGGCACTTTTTGCGCCATATCTTCGGAACGGCTAGACCTGCCTTTGCCAAAACCTAAACAGCACGTCTCCTTATCAATACGAATTGAATATTTTTTGAATTATTCAAATCGATCTATCCGTGTTCCCGAAATCGTCGACGAAAATTTGTATCCGAACACGCACACACCTAAACACACACATACACACACACACACATACATCCATTTTTTCTAAGGTATGCCAAAATATTTACCTCTGAAATGAATGAATGAATGAAATGAATTTAGTATACTTTTGTACTGGTGTAGGTGATATAATAATGCATTGTAAATTACATAATATGAATGAACTTGTAATATGCCATATTATTGCAGAAACTGCCAGAGTTTTCCTAAACTAATTCAATTTTTGCCTTCCTAAACTAATCGTTTCTTTACAATCAATGTTTACTGATTCATTCAAATTAGGAGGCTTTGTTCTCTCAAAAACTTCCATCTTTTACCTTTTTTGTTTCTTATCTCTGAAACTTCTCATCATTACACATTGAATGTTTATTGAATCATTCAAATCAGATGCCCTGTTTCCTTAAAAAATCCCAATTATATCTCATTATAAATCTTATTATATTTGGTATGCAAAAAAGTTTAGAAGCCTCTGAAACGTAAAGATATGCAAAAATTTGCATTTTTGTTTTTTGGATAGTTACAACAATTATTAGAAATTCTTATAACAATAGTGATGCAGAACATAAAATTAAATGAATTACAAATACAGATTTCTTTTACGGAATTCTAATACATCTAACCTCAACTCCTCGAATCTATTTCTTAATCTGTTGAAAATTTCAAATGTTAGCAGAATTGTTAATTATAAAAACTATAAAATATTTAGATTTTTTATTTTATCTCAGTTATTTTAAAAGACATGTGATCACTCCACCCGAACAAACCTGTCTACTAGTACATATTTTACCAAAAGTTTATCATCGTAGCATTTATAATGGCATAACATTTGCTACACACTTAATGTTTTCTTTTATTAACTTTCCGTAGGGTAATTAACTACCCGTAGGGTAAGTTATTGTAATGGGCCGAAAATCGAAAATGAAAATTTTTACATTTCTCGACGTTTTGAAGGTTTCTGAACATTTTGGCATACCTCAGAAAAAATGGATGTGTGTGTGTGTATGTATGTATGGATACAAATTTCCAGTCACGTTTTCGGGCTCACGGATCAACCGATTTGAATGGTTCAAAAAAACATTTGATTCCTATGGATAGGGAAAAGAGATGATTAGTTTTTGGCGAAGGCAGGTCCAGCCGTTTCGGAGATACGGAGCAAAGAGTGCATAAAATAGAAATCGACTTTTTGAGAGAACGGAGTTTACGATTTGAATGATCTAAAGAACATTCAATTAGTAATGATTGGGAAAAGTGTCTATTAGTTTTTGGCAAAGGCAGGCCCAGCCATTTCGAAGATACGGATCTAAATATGTAAAAATTGGCAGTTTTTGAGAGAATTAAGCGTCTGATTTAAGTGATTCAAAAAACTTTCTGCTCGTCTTAACAAAATAATTGATTTTGGAAAAAAAAATTGTATTTTTTTTTTTTTTTTTAGTTTTTTTTGTGTGTCGAAAATAATTCAGATTTTATTTTTATTCTGACTAAAGTTCTAATTTAACTCAAGCAAATAATTTTAAATTTGCAATTCAGTTTATATATATAATATTTCTTATAAATATTAGACAATGTTACAATATTTATAATAATCTATTTGAAAACATTCAGTATTCCTCGAACATTTCGTTACGGTACGGGAAGTTCCAGCAATTTGCTTTAAGGCACGATGCCATACACCCCACTAGTTTTATTTAAGATTGAATGCCAATAAAGTGATTTTTTTTTTCCGAAAGTACTAGAGCACATATGCAATCTTTGAATTTGTCAACGAAATTTTAATGCCTTTATGCTTATCTCTCCACGCCAAGCTGTTAAAAATCATGAAAACTGTTAATTATTAAAGCTTTTATTTTTTATATTATTTTTATTATTTTAGATTTTCTAATCTAAGATCAAATTACATGGACAAACCTATAATAAATTTTCCAAAAAATATCCGCATTACACTTATGGTACCGTATCATCTACAATAGTACACACTTGTTTACCTAAAGTTGATAATTCTATTAACTTAAATATGTTATTCCCTAAGGAATAAAGGACTTAAATATATTTATTCCCTAAGGGTTGTGTTGATGAACTGGAGCACGTATGCGCCCTTGTTGACTTCGCGATCGCCATGCGCCATCGTCTGGATGACGTCAACACCCATTCATTCAACCACTTTCGCCTCCGGGTTGGTTTGAGTTGTGGTTCTCTGGTTGGTGGTGTCATTGGTGCCCGCAAACCAGTCTACGATATTTGGGGCAATACTGTGAACGAGGCATCGAGAATGGATTCAACAGGAGCAATGGGTTGCATCCAAGTACCGCGCTATACGGCTGATGTAAGTGAATACGATAATTTCATGTCTTATTTTTTGGAAATTTCACTATTTAATTCGACATGCATAAATATTTTTGTTCTGCTCGTTATTGACTTCTTGCAATAAAAGTTTGTTTTCGCCAGAAAATCCACTTTGTTAATATTTGCACTTTATTGAACATTTTTTATTCATTTTTGATAATAGCAAAAAATACTTGACCGGTTTTGATACGTATTTTGGATTACTTACCATAAGTACCTTACAAATGTCACATGTAAATTAGGACAGGATCAACAGATTCAATTTGACTTTGAAAAGTTATAATGAGATAAGCAAACCAATTAAATCACAACTAATGACACATATCAAACAAGCAACTATCTGACTGTGTTATGTAAAATTCCGAGCTAATTTAATTCGTCATTGCAGAAATGTGTTTTTCGGCTGGCTGTTTTTCAAAAAAAATTTATGTTTTTATTTTTACTCCATAGGCGGGGTAAAATAGAACAGCCAGAAACACAGATGGAATGCTTTATATTTAAGTTTGAAGGAATTTTACATAATAATAGCTACATTATTCAACCATTGCGAAATATAAATTTCGTAGGTACATTTTTTACAGGGATAACAGTGTATATATCCTTGATCTGTTATTACGTCAAAAAATAATTATCAGCATAGTCGTAATAACTATTTATTTAACTTACATCTTATAAAATTGCATTTGTTAACTTATTTTATTTTTTTATTTACTATTTTTTATTGCTTACACCTTTGCCAGGATAAAGATTTGGTTGGTCCTTTTTACCTTATTCACACGTGAGCTTTTTTAGATTTTATATAACAATACATATTATAAAATAATTAAATAGTGTATACAGGTAACTCCCTTATAACACGGTAGGTACGTTCCAGAAAAGTAGCGTGTTATGCGAATCCGTGTTATACGGACAAAGAACTAGTACAAAAAGAGGGGTTACCTTCCAAGAACATTTATTCATTTTTTTTAAATTAATATACATTACTCGAATTATATGATTTTTTTTGTCATAATTCTTAATTTTTCTTCGTGCTATCCAACATGATCATTTTTTTGTAAGCTATCCTCATCTTCTGAGCAGATTTCTATACTACCTCCAGATCCGTGTATTATTATTTGAAATTAGTGCAAAAGATAACTTTTTTGATATATATTATTAGAGCGCGTATGTTCTACTGAAAAAAAAATATATTTGCGATTACTTGCTATTGCAAAATGATATTTATATATTTAACACATGAAAAGTAATCTTTATTAAACTTTTATGCTCAATTTATTTAAAAAATTGCTTAAGAATTATTTAATATATTTTTCGGAAAATCCTAGAATTTTTTTTCAGTAGAACATACGCGCTCTAATAATATATATCAAAAAAGTTATCTTTTGCACTAATTTCAACATATTTATTGAGCTATTGTACAGAGATTTTACTAATTTTAGATGTAATAAAGTTTGCTTTTCAAAGGTTTTACTATATTTCTTATTTTATTAAAACTTTTCTCAATTATTAAACCGTGTTGTGCAAACCCGAAAGTACCGTGTTATTACAAAAAATAATATCGATTATTATTTATTTTGCAGCAATAAATATCAGACAGTTACGAATTTTATGGGCCGATTCTGCCCTAAACTATACCACTGTTATGGCAAGGCTATGTTATATTACTGTTTTCATACAAAATCGTACTAAATATTTTTGATGATGGTTATCCATCTTTATTTTGTAGCCTATCTCCCTGTTATATTTATTTTTTAACGTACGCCAAACTGATCAAAAAGTCTTCTAACTTGAATTTAAGAGATGAGAACTTATTTTTTGCAGTTTAAAATAATCGGCCCACTAAGTAAAGTAACTCTTATACGAACATTTTAATAAACTATATATTCATTAAACTAAGATTTGTACTATTTTTTTCAAGTGAAAGTAATTGATTACATTTTTTATGAATATTACTTGTATGCATACCTTCAATTATGAAACATGAATATGGTAAAATTTATACAATAATATTCATTAGGTTCTGTCAGCTCGGGGGTACCAAGTTCAATCTCGGGGTCTCATCGAAGTAAAAGGTAAAGGAAAAATGGAAACGTTCTGGGTCCTCGGTCGCAAGAGTACAAGACCGCCGCCATTCCAAAGACAGCCAAGCCAAGTCCATTCTTTGGCAGCTGTGGTTTATGGTATGGTGCAGGCCAGAAGAAAGCAGACCAGCGCTGGTGAGTTATAAAGGATTCTACCAATTCTTCTGCTTGCTGGTGGCGCGACTTTTTATTCTTTTATTGCTTGATGCTGGGTTTAAGTTGGCATGGTAATCTTACTGGTTTTAATAGATAATAATGATTAAATAATCATTATTCCTTGATTTATGTAATGTGGTTATTCTGTAAACACGTCGCACTTTTTGTTATATTATTTAAATGCTAAGTGTGATAGTTTTAATTATTTATATATTTGATTTAATGAAGATAGGTTATTGTTGTGAACTATCGGATTGAGGATGATTTGCAATTAAGCAAATTGCATTGATATGTTAGAAAATAATATTATAGTAATGAGCAGAATTATCTTGTAAATATTATCCAAATATTAACTTGATAGTTTGTAATGCTTCAAATATATATATAAGTTTCAATCTGAGATTATAATGTATAATCAGCAAAATTATGAATTAACCATAATTGTAATCATAAAAGGCAGAAGTCCAGCCTCTACGTCTATATGTACACATAAATGCTTTGATCTCGGTTTCCTCTCGAATATCCGTATAAAAGAGTATACAATGAATATTACTAATTTTTTGCTCCCAAATACAAAACTGGTGCGTTATTCGAGTTTTAAACCTATAACCTCAATTCCCTTTCTAAATTCTATAGGTATATATTTCATATTTATCAAAGCAGCTTATCTTGAAAGAACTGATTTCTACATTTGCTTTTAGCTACTACTTAGGTATACTGGTATTTAAGATTAGGGTATTTTTACAAAGTAATTACTTTTCTTCAATTAAAAACAGTATTATTATGATGGAAGTTGGAATATATCAAATCGTAACATGGATATCCAATGAGATGAGCATAAGATTGATATATACCGTGGTAATAATTTTAATTATTAATCAAAACTATATTTAGTGAAACGAATAATTTATCAAAGAATTTGAATAGTCGGATTTAGTCCAATGCACAAAAACCTAGTGTGGCTCATATCTTATAAAATTAAAATTATAAAAAAAAGTTACAACTGAGTAATTATATTGTGAAAACCAAACCAATTATATCACAACCAATAACACATATCAAACAAACAACTATCTGACCGAGTGCAGTAAATCTTCCAGATAATTTGTCAAAGAAATGAGTTAATTGCCTTTTTTTTATTTATGATCAGGTCTTTTTCACCCCATAGGCGGGGTAAAATGTGACACCCAGGAGGCAAACAGGTCCAATGTCTTATTTTTAATTTTAAAGAGATTTTGCGAAATAATAACTATTTTATTCAATGCACATAACCTTTATCTGGTATTTTGTTAAAAATATTCATCAATCAATAATTAATGATTTTTATTAAAAGTGAATAAATAGTAACTGCTTTTACGATACATTTTTACAATTTTATTTGATTGCATCCTTTTGCGTGCAAATACGACATAGTTTTCAAAAATCACAAACTTATATCACTGGATTTCGCTTTTGCAATTGCACACATAGACGACAGGGTCTAAACGTATGCGGGTAAAAAGGTACACCACCGATATCTCAAAAACAAATCAAGAATTTTTTTATTTGAAAGCAGAGGTAAAAAGATATATAACCAGTCATCAATTTGATACGTTCGACGTTTCGGCAATGTTTGAAATTCCATAACAAAACAATTTTCTTTTGTTATTAGGTTTTTTGGTTGTGAGCACTGTTACTAAACCTTAATTTTTGAGTATACATTATTCAAAGATTTTTTTACATAAGCTATATAGAAGCCTACATGTGGGTAAGGTAAACAGAACTATCAGAGTCTTCACCTTAGTAAAGTTATTAACAACAATTAAAAATATTAAGCAATTTCATAAGAGATAAGTTAAAAAAATATTCATTCCAACTCTGCTAATGATTATTTCTAACGAAATAGCAGATCAAGGTTATATACAGTGTTATCTCTATAAAAATGTGTCCATGAAATTTATATTTTGCATTGTAACTATTATTTCGCAAAATTTAAATTTTGGTAAAATTCCTTTCAAATTAAAAATAACACATTGGGCCTGTTTGCCTTCTGTCTGTCCCATTTTACCCTGCCAATATTGTAAAAAAGGCTCATGGGACAATTTTCGAAAAAAAGCAAAAAATATATTTCTATATATGATGAAATGAGAGTTTTACTGGACATGTCAGATAGTTGTTTCTTTGATATGTGCTATTGATATGAAATAATTGATTTGATTTCCATAATATAATTGCTTAAAGTCAAATTGGATCTTTGTGCTCCGCCCTACTCTATTTCATAAACTAGGCATTGTACTTTAAGTCTTGAAATCATCTACAGTTCGAGACGAATTGCATTTTTATTTTCCATATTTTCTGCTAATATGGTTCTATTTCTAATATACAGGGTTTTCAAAATCCTGACGTCAAGCCAAACCGGATTAAGCATTGATTTTAATATCAAGAAAAAAACTTGAAAAAAATCCCATGCAGTTTAAATATTATGAGCTTTTAGTACAATCTAAAACTTTGATCAAAACTGTGACCATTTTGTGGTTGTTTCGGTTCATTTTTATTTGTTCATTTAAATTTTGGAACCGTAACCGTAAATAGCATTTATAGGACTACAGTCGAGAATAACAATATAGGGAAAAGTCCCAAGTGGCGGACACCTAAGGTTATTATCAATAAATCAAAAAATATTTACGAAATGTTTATCAAATTATGATTTATGTAGATAACAAAGCTAGAAATCAAACTAAATTAACAAAATCGCAATCTTTGCTGAAAAATAATTAATACTATCAATCAAATTTTGCTATCAAAAAATATGATTTTAAACAGTGGCACCTAGGCTGGACATTTCAAAATAAACTGCATAGATCACATAAGTAGGCATCTCCCGCTCTGGACTGCGTGTCTTTGACGAATATTCTAAGATATTGCAAAAAAAAGTCACTATTCATCCATCCTTTGGCTGTGCCACACCGATGCTCTCAGCTGGTGCATACATAATCTTTTCATTCTTTGACTAGGAAATACGAAAAATGTGGGTATGTAGTGACCGTTAGCACTCATAAAGAATAAAATTAAATATTTGGAATAAATTACATAAATTCTCACAAGAAATATCAATATGTTTACTGTCCGGCACTAAGGAACGACTTAGTGTCCGGTGCTAAGGGACAGACATTTTTGTTTATTTGATGGCACCTACTGAAATTGGTTAAAAAATCTAATGATATTCTACCATTTTACAGATAACAATCAAGTACGACTTTTATCTTTGCATACCACTCAAATGTAAATGCATAAATATGCTAGAATTTCTTCCATTGATATTTAGGTGACACCGTGATTTTGCGCCTAAAACAGGAATGGGTTGTACTTTGAATGAAAAGATTTATACTCGTCTAAATAATACGTGTTAAATAGAGTGTCCGGTGCTTGGTGCCGTCCGGCGTTACGGGACTTTTCCCTTGTTGTCTCAAGTTCATATAATTCAGAAAAGATTGATCGCAATCGCAACTTTTTCTGTTTGTCACTAAAAATATCATTCAAAACTGAATATAATTTTGAAAATGGCTTTTGTATATAGCAGAGGATATGACTATGGTTAAGTTGCGTAGAAATTCGCACACCATTAATCCATTTTACGCTTTTAATTACTCACGCAATTTTATTCAACAACCCATAATATGTATTATAAAATAATTCAGTATATTATTTATTTAAGTCATATATAATTATAAGATATATAGGTTAGTCATTGCTCACAATGTCTTGAAAAAAACTTAATAAATTTGATACTATGAGCGGAACTGAAACTTAATCGTATGCTGTTTGTATTTATAAGTCAAATACTAAAATAACTAGTATTATTGTTGCTTCAATATTATATATTTGAATTTTAATTTCCAAAATCAGCATTTTTCATAATTAAGTATTCTGTTTACATAATGTAAGTAATCATCAATTTCTGAAGTTGTATCGATAATTGTATGTGAATTTTCACAAAATAATCACATATACGAGATGTTATGTGCGTTCCATAAATGAGGCACATTATTTTTATGGAAATATTAATTATTACTTCACATCGGGTAATAAATATTCGAAATATAAAGTTTCTCTTATCTAGGGCAATTGTGCAATAAGAGTTTTAATTTATTTATTTGTTTCTACTTATTGTTGTACATCCGTACCGCATGTTTGTCCAATTATTTTTGCATGATTGTATAAACTGTCAACAATATATGTTAAGAGCTATTAAGTTATTGATGTTATGATGTACATAGAATAATATTTTCTATTTCATATAACGAAGTAATATATTAAATTTACGAATTGCTTCTATAATTTGTTGTACAGATATGTATAATTACATTTGTAGTTTAGTACTTTGTTTTATTGGTTCTATTTTGGTAATTATTAAAAAACTGAAGGAGTATTAGAAACACATTTACTTAGCATTAAAAATAAATAATTCATATGCAGAGAAATCAAAATTACGTTCTCTTGTATTGATATAAAAGAAAACTTATTATAATTAAGGTGACCATACGTCCCGGACAGTCTCAAATTTCTACCTTGTGTCCCCGGTAGTTCTACAAGCAATATTTGTCTCGGATCTACTGCTTTTGTCCCGGATTGTCCCGGTTTTTCTAAAATCAATAGGTATATTAACAAAAATTATGAAAACATTTTTTTATATTAATTTTGAAGATAATTAAATAGAATTTTATACAAGGCTCAAAAGCGAAACAAACATAGATCAATAATATAATATAATATCATAGTTAAAGAAGTAATACTTATAATCGAATAATCGAGTACTTATCTTACTAAAAGTCCACAATTCTGATTCAACAAAATTGATTAATATAAAAAAACTGATATTTTTATTGCATCCTTAGATAATATTTTTTAAAGGTCCCCCTCCCGTCTTGGATTTGCATAACTAAAAATTTCTGTCCTGGTTTTGACTTAAAAGATTATGGTCACCTTAATTATAACTTACTTGATCGTTTTTGGCTCTATTTTTTTACTGTGACAGTGAAAATGACTCGAACTTCACGCTCACCCTTGGAGAAGATGGCACCCTTTCTCGGTAGTATACTCTTTTTTAAATATGCTCGGATGTCGTTAGCAGGCCTAATTTAACAACAAACACTATTTTATATAGTTTATATACGATACAGATATAATTTTCTACAAAAAAATAATACTTCCGAAGTTATTGCTAATTGAAGTACGGAATTTTTTACGGTTTTCATCAAAAAAACATTTTTTGTAATAAAAAGGCCTATATGTTTGATCATTATACTTTTAGACGTACATTTTATTATTTTTGAGATATTATGAAAAGAAGTTGTTTTTTACATAAATTTGGATTTTGTTACCGGTTTGATCAGTTTTCTTTCTTGCTACAATTTTGTTCATCATAAAATTTCTGTTAAGATGCATATTTTTGAAGATATTCGTAAAAAACGATAAACAACATAAAAAAATATAAACTTAGTTTTCAATTCAATGAGCTAAAAAAAATTTGTTTTTTTTTTGTTTTAAAGAAACTTTATAATACTTTTGTTTCTTAAAAAAAAATTACTGAGAATGGTGGCAACTTGCTCTAATGTGAGTGTGTAGTTTAAACAATTTTCATTTTGAATTTAAGAATAAGTTAACCAAAATCCAAAATTTTATGCAAATCGGTTTACAGTAGAAAAATCGGAAGCACCACCCTATTTTTCGTTTAAATAACTGCACCAAATTCCTAATTTTCAATTTTAATTTGTTAATAATATTACTAAATTGCATTTATGAAAATTTTGCTCAAGTTCATAAGTATTGTGAAATAACAATTTCGGGAAAATCTATGGAATTTGAATAATTTTGCATTGTTTGAAGTATTTCCGATATTGTTCAAAAGCTCAAATTTATGCAGACAAAATTTCTGCTTTCACAAAATTTTTTTGATTTTTTTTTTCTCAATAATATTTGTTTTTAGATTTTTATTTCAGTATAATTTACTTTGCGAATGAATGTTTATTGTTCTTTACTTTGTATAAAAGTATGATTTCCAAAATATATTTAGCAAATTTGGCAGCTTCTGCTCGGGCTAAGATTAACAGTGCAAACGAACAGAAACGAAAAGATGAAGAAGCAAACAAGCAAGACAAAAAAGGCAACAAAGGTGGTTTTGGAGGCAGAAGGGTTGCCAATTTTAGTTCAATGCGAATTTCACAGCATACACCTTCGAATCCTGTACGAAGAAATACAACTAGAGCACACCAAAGAAATAATTATGCTAGGTAAAATATTACATTTAATATTAATTTTTTAGTGCAAATAGTAATAATATAAATGCTCCGAATAAGAAATCCAAATGATTAATAAAACTTTTTTGAAAAGAATTTATTTAGTTCTGACATTTCGATATTAGGCAGATTTTTAATCAAGAATTCCATGTATATTTAGATTTCTTTTTCGGAACATATACAAATTATTAATTAAATTTTATATATAATTATACTTTAATATAAACCTACACATACACACACATATATATAGGCATACACACATACATATATATATATATATATTATTATTATTATTTATTTATTATTTCGGGGTGATTTCTGGTCATAAATGTAGTTTAGCTTTTTCAAAGTAATTTTCCTACAGATTGCTGAACGTAGTGTATATTTGCATGTGGCTCAAACACAGTATTTTTTCTCATATTTGGTTATAGAATGCTTTTATTTATATAGTTTTTCATATCAATAAGATGCTTGAATCAGTACCTTGAAGGGCAAAGAAGTTTTAGCATGAATGATTCGATTAAAAAATGCAATATATAAAGCAACGTATATATGAACTAACATATATAATATAACCTAATATAATGAATATGAATATTATATGTATTATTTCAATTTAACTATTAAAATAATAAACAACAATAACAAAATAAAACAACTTAATGTTCACAAAAACTAAATACTTAGCAACGAAATATTAGAAAATCTCGAGAAAATTATATGAACACACTTAACCATTTATATACCATTTTATTCTGCATCTTTCGTACGAACAAAGTTTTCTCATATCTTTTACGGTTTAGATAGTATAGAGCAATTTGTGTAGTTGTTAACATGTTGAAATGCAAAGTGCGTTAGGTTAGAGCAGTGATTCCCAAAGTGGGCGCCAGCGCCCCCTTGGGGTCGCTGCGGCGATCTAGGGGGTCGGTGATGGGCTTTGGAGCATTTAGGGGGCGATGCTTAGTTGTAGGGGGCGCTTACAGCACAAAAGTGAATAAATAAATTAATATTATTATATATAAATAAATGATTAACATTAAACACTGAAATATATAAAAATAATATTTTAGTTAAAATTATCCAAACATATATGACAAACAATTTTATCATTAATTAGTTAACAATACTACAAATCCCATTTTAGTAAAAAAAAAGATGCCGACTTTATCACTGTCGGCCCTGAATCATAATTTAATGCTGACTTAAATCAAAATTGAAAATCTATCATTATTCTTAGTGATAACAATTAGCGATAATCATTAAATAGATAGAAAGGATCTGAAGCTTGTAAAACCAAATTTAATATTGCGACTTCTATCCCTTTGTCTCGTTTCGCGAACAATGCTGCAATCATAAAAATATATTACGTAATTCACAATTACTCTACTGAGGTTATTAAAACTGAATTTTTTTAAATTGCCTTATTATTTACTACTTTAAAACTAAATTGGCATAGTCCAATTGCGCAAAGCATCTGCCGCCAAACGAAAGTTATGATCTTTGCCAAAAGTTAAATATTTAAACGTGTATGCGCAAGAAATGGTAGGGTAGGGCGGGGCTAGTTGAGCAAATTTTTACTGATGTAACTCCTCATGAAATGTCTCAATAAATTGCTATATGGCTTAATGGATTTGTTGTTTATCGCTTAACAAAAGTGTTAATACTAATTTTTGGTAATAAGTAAAATTTAAAAGCTACAGGTGTTTAAATGCAAAAAGTCAAGTATGCTCAATGTACCCCATAGGTGGGGCAAATTGAGCACTAAGACAGTTTAATGAAATCATAGATTCAATGTCCATTAGTGATGAAATGAAATAAGTTTTTAATAGCCAGTTCTATATTTATGGTCTTTATTGACAGAGAAAACAAAACTTATAGTAATTTGCTTTGAATAATTAACCAAAAGTATAATCAACAAATATCGTATCTTAGGAATTATTTTACCATTATATTCAGTATTTTTGTTTATTTTATTATTTCTTTATATTATTTATTTATATCTTTATATTTATTTATATCATAGACTTAGCTTAAATCTTAAAAATAATAATTAATTTTTGGAAGTTAATGGTAATTGTCTTAGTGACAGAACAAGTTTAGCAACTATGCTTAACTAACCCCAACTCGGAATTTTAAAATAAAAGTGAGTTTATAAAAAAACGTGAGAATTATACTCAGAATCTCTGTGCATATTAAAAGTTCTACAACTATATGGAAGAATAACATTTACCTGATTAAAAATGAATAACATTTGACTAAACCAGACTTTTTTACTTTTTGGTCTCAAAATAAACAAAACGCCCGTGAGCCTCACTCATTTGTCCAGCGGCCACTAGCGATCGCGGCATGTTTATTTCTCCCAAACCCCTAACTTTCCGCCATATAATGCCCAAACGGACGGCGAATAGTTTTCGAGATATTTTGTTTGCTCAACTTGCCCCTACGCTCAACTAGCCCCGCTCTACCCTACGCAAACAGTACCATAATTACAATAAGTTGATTTAAAATATTTTAATTTTTTATCAGAATTTTCTGAAAACGATGGTTCACACGTTTTTTGTGAGTCGACAATTTGTGTAACTTTTCAACGCGTGTAACTTTACCAAATTTTGTAAAAGATTCTGTGACGGATATATGATTATTCTTACTTGCCATGCTATTAATTATGTTTTTTGATATCTACCTGTAACTGTCTACACAAGTACCGTGTAAAATAGGTTTATCGCGACCTAGAATAATTATTTCTGTACTTAAAGTTTCAAAAAACGTATCAACACCTATCAACACATCTAATTCGCGTGGGATATTGAAGTGTGGATCCGAAAATCTTATCCATTAGAAAGATTTAGTTCAGAAATTTGGATTCGCCGCGCGGGCGGACTAGGTATTTTCCTAAACACAAAGGCATTTATATTTTTTACAAATGTACCATCTTCATTAAATATTTCTAAATTTGTAAAATTATTCAATTTCATTGAAATTCCATCAACACCGTGGAGCTTAAGGCTCGTGGATTGAGATTTAACGCCCAATTTTGGGAATAGCGATTTTGATTTCGAAGATATTATACACTTTAACAAACTTGATTGGATTTTTGATCCTATTTCAAGTGCAATTACAGAAGATTCTTCACAGCTACGAAAAGAAAGAAAGACAGAGATAATAACAAATGATGAATTGACATCTAGATTTTAAAATAGCTACCAACAATTCTGGCTGCAAAAAGAGATCCCGACGCCTTACCCACAAATTTGGTCTGTCATTGAAAAATTTCTGATTGATTGCATTTCCGTAATCATACTTATATCATTAGCGAAGCGTGGATTCAGCTGTAACTAATTCATTAACAAAACAAAGAAACAGATTACTAAAAGTCGATCGTGGCGATTTACGATTACTTTTAAAAGAATAATGATTGTATCTTTATTATGAATATAGTTTTATAATTTTAAACTTTGATGTTATTTTACAACCTTCTTATGAAAGAGTACAAGATTAATTTTGATAACGTCCATTAGTTTAATAAATAAATCATCAAATGTTTTGCAAAATCTTTCCGTCAGCAGTGATGTACCAATTGCAGTTGCATTTCATTACAAATATATTCATAATATATCTGAAAAATTCAATGTAGTGACTTGAGGGCCTAGAAAATTTGAAATTAACTGATGGTGCAAACTTTTTCTGAATGTTTTATAATTTATAAAATAGCGTACTCTATCAAAATTGGTTTCTTATTCGTCAATTTATCTTTTACAGATACAATAATTATTATATATCTTATTAATTACTATTGAAATGAAGAAAAAAAATAGGGGGGCGCTGAGTAATATTTTTTTTGGAAAGGGGGCGGTAGGCGATATAAGTTTGGGAATCACTGGGTTAGAGCAACACTCCTCACGAGTCACGATTCGATATTTCTGTAAAGAAAACATATAAAGTATTATACATCGTTAGAAAGGTCTCAAAATTCTTAGTTTTTTTTCCATATATCGCAACTTCGAATTCCGAACGGTGTGGCCTACAGGCGAGTTGCCGTCGTAAAATTTCAGGAAAATCGGAAAATCTCGAGAAAATTATATGAACACACTTAACCATTCATATACCATTTTATTCGTTATTTTATTCTGCATCTTTCGTACGAACAAAGTTTTTTCGTATCTTTTACGGTTTAGATGTTATAGAGCAATATGTGTAGTTGTTAACTAGTCAAAATGCAAAGTGCTGATAGGTTAGAACAACACTCCTCACAATTCGATATTTCTGTAAAGAAAACATATAAAGTATTATACATCGTTAGAAAGGTCTCAAAATTCTTAGTTTTTTTCTCATATATTTGCAACTTCGAATTCCAAACGGTGTGGCCTACAGGCGAGTTGCTGTCTTAAAATTTCAGGAAAATCGGAAAATCTCATGTAACCGCTACTGATGCAAAAAAAGTTCTTGCTATGCTCAAATTAAAATTTTGAAATTTTATAAAATTGTTAGAAGAGTAATAAGCTATTAACTTTATAGAGTATACTTTATATTCGGGATCACAAATTCTTAATTATATATGATCTACATTTATAGTGTACATAAAATTAAAAAAATTAATAATTACTAAATGTCACATTATCACGAATCAACCGATTTGAAGGATTCAAAAAACATTTGATTCCTATTGATGGAGAAACGTGCTAATTAGTTTTTGGCCAAGGCCGTTTTGCAGATTCGGTGCCGAAAGTGAGAAAGGAGCATCCAATTTAAATCATTTAAAAAACATTTGAATTACATAGGAAAAAAAATTAAAGAACTTATTGAATTTTTGTAAAGCCAGATTTAGCAATTTTGGATAACCGATTAAAAAAACTACTACGCTGCGCTATTGTTTTAATAACAAGTAGAAAGTGGCATTTTTCCTTAAGGCAAGTTCCATAAACTGCTCGAAATGTGTAATAATTGACTTTATCAGCCGAGATCAAGATTTGGATAAAATTTTCTACTGTTTA